GGACCACAAATGTTAATGTTTGCTTAATTAACCATTTTCCCCAATTTTGTTTGGGCCCTCTAACAGGATTTCTGGGTAACCAAAAAGTCAGCTAGAAAAAATTTATGAGAATAATGTTCAATTTCCTTTAAAGGGAGTTGGGTAGGTTTTTGGTTGTTTTCTGGGGCTATAAATGTTTATTGTCATTGGAAGATGGTTATAAGTTGTTAATCTTATTCAGAGGGAAAATAAGGTTAGGATATTAGGTAATGCAAGTTAATTGTTAGTTAATTAACTCATAGCCATACCAAACACTAGTCTAATTTATCCCAGGAGTATAGGAGTATACATCCTAGGGTTAACAGAGAGATGTGATTACATAAAGATAGGTAAGTCTTCAAAAACCTCAGAAACCTACAGAATATAGCACTTAAAAAATGTCTTTATTATTTTAAAGAGTATTTGACAATGAGACAGGTCATCTTCTGATAGCATCCTACCTGAAAGAAGACGATGAGCATCAAAGAGATAGCTTCAAATGTGTCAAACGAGCCATCTGGGGGAAAAAATGCCCTTGTTTCATGACAGACAGAATTCTGCCAAAAATGAGCAAGTCTAAATGCAGGACAAGTCAACTGCCCAACTCTGCCAAGACAGAGTAAGCAAGTCTTAAATAGTTCCTGCTTCACATATATGTCTGTCAAATATACTGAGCCAGAAAGCTGAAGATAATGCTCCAACGTTATAGAGAGTTTTGAGTGATTGTTCAGGCAGCAAACTGTCTCTGTCATTTTTTTTTTATGTTAGTGCTGCTAACATGCACTTCCTATTTACTCCAGTAACTAATTTTATTCCTTCTCAAGTCTCTGATGGGGTTGAAGACCAAATAGTTACAGTTACATAATTAAGCTTAAGTTGTTTAGAATTTTTAGAACTGTAACCAAATAGTTACAGTTACATAATTAAGCTTAAGTTGTTTAAAATGTTTTCATATAGGTAATACCAATAATGATAAAAAATAATTTAGGTACAGAACTCTAAACTTGTCAAGATAGGATAGATAATCAAATACTTTCTTCCTACATTGCCAAATGCACGTGGACTGGACATTGCACATGTAACATCTTACCTAATAATTTTCATACTGTTTTATAAAATTGTATTGAAAGAAAAGGAGGCTTTCATTGGACTTAAAGGGGGAAATGTTGGTATAATGTTCCTGTGGAATATATACAATTTACCGTTGTTCATTCAAATGCTGATTTCTCTCCCCCACTATCTGGTTTCAACCTGACATTGCATTGTGATGTTTATTCTAAGCATCACCTGTCTCAAGTTTGTGTAAACTTGCCACCATTTGTTTTCTGTATTGTCAATAAAACAACCAGCCAGTGCTGAGCAATGGAGAGAATAAGGTGGGACATCCTAGTCTGAAGGAGAGGAGAAAGAAATGGGAAGAATCGGGAAGGACCGCACTTGGAACCACCAGGAGAGATGAACTGGACCTAAGATATGACTAAAAGCAAGTATAATGTGGGAAATCTGAGTGGGAAGAATCTGTGCAGGCTTGGAGGTGTAGGATGGAGTAATTATTGCCCAGCATTGTGCTCTAGGTTAACTAAATACATCCTATTCTCTGTGTAATGATTTGAGTATGCAGCTGGTTTAGGAATAACTGCTGTTTAACTAAAAGATGAACCAATAATAATAATCAACAACAATGACTCCTGCTGGCTACATCCCTCTCTATGTGTCTTACTCTTCTTGTCGGGCTCTGATCTCTCCTGGCTTTACAGGGCCACTTACTTCCCCCTCTTTGAGCTCCACTAGTGTGGGCCCCTCTCTACCACCAGCACAATATTCTAAGGCATAGTGACTGAATTTTTGAGAAAGGGGAGGGAATCAGATTTTAGATGTTATTAAATATCACTTCCTACCCTGAAATCCTATGGTAGATAAATTCATACAAAAATTTACAAGGTAATGCTCAGAAAATGGGCTACGGATACACTGACCTGCTCAGCACAAATGATTGTGTTTAAAATAATTTCTAAGACAAAATCGAAGTGAGGCATGAAATAGCTCTGAGTAAGGACAGTAGATGTGGCATGTACATGGATACGGTCGTAAGTATGAGATCCGAATGTGGGGCAGAGAACTCAGGATACATTTAGCATCCCCAAAAGGGAGACGAGATAACGGTGGGTGGGTAGCCAGAAGACAAGTAAGTATATTCCAGTGTTGTTCAGGCCAGAAAGCAAAAATGTTAACTGAAGAGGATCTTAATATGTGTTAGACATTGGTGATCATTCTGGAAGGCATTCATTTCATCTACCAATGTATTAATTACATGGCATCACCTAGTTTCAGAGATGCTAAAAGCTCAAGGTTTCACTTGCCTACTGAGGAACTGACACTAGACTCCAGGTAACCTATATTATGCTGCCATCTTTTGGTTGAATTTAAATGCCTTCCTCATCAACCAGAACTATTTTTGATATATTCCAAACACAGAGAAAATCACAATTTTAATTTTTAAAAATATTATACTTTCGGATAAAAGGTAATGATAGAAAAAAACTCATGGGGATATAGAAGGAAACATATACACAATAAATTAACTTAAGTTCATATAAAATCATACCAGCTAAAGACGGACTACAGTCATTGATTTCATCATACTGAGTAATACTTAACATCAGTCTTTTCTGTATCTCAGCACCTCACTGCTGTTTCACTCTGGGAGCAGTGTAAGTGTATAGCAGATGCTCCTAACAGAGTACTTACACGGGGCCGCTGGTAAGTCTGTTCCCAGGGCCATGAATATCAGACATAGTCCTCTGCACATACATGTAACTACATGTAAGCATGTATGTACATGAGCTTACACTCATCTTCTTCCCCTAAGACCCACACTGTCTACACAGACCAGGTACCCAGTACTCACACATGGTCTGATTTATCTAAACACACCTGTTCATTAGTCACTTTCTTTGATGCCAGGGGAGCTCTTCCCTCCCCCAAAAGCACTACCATGCCTAATACCAGGAAGGGAACAGTGCTTTGGAGTATGGGAAATTTGAGCTTCAGAAGAAAAAGACAAAAGTTTTGAATGTACTGAATGGAAACAATAGACTCTTACACAATCAACTATCTTTCCCCAATCATACCAAGTAAGTGTGCATTCCTCTGCTGTGTCTAAGTAACAATTAGTGATTCTGGGAGATACTTTATTAGGTTGACATTTGAAACAGTTGCATGTGGAGGAATGTTTTTAAAACATTAAAAAAATCTGTATGTATTTTGGTTTAGATAAAGCATACTTTTAGTGTGATAATATTCCTCTGATATTATTATCCATCTAGATTTTGATTTCTTGGCTACATAGCAAGACACTGTTTACAAAAAAATAAATGAAATAAAGTGAAGACAAGAAAACTTCATTTGAACATGAATATGCACATACCACACACACACAGAGACAAACAAGGCCATCAGATCGCATAAAACATAAGGCATAGCTACATAACAAAAACCACTTCAAATATAAACCAGTTGGGTAGTTTACACACATACAAACACACACACACACACACACACACACACACACACAAACAGTGCATGAGAGAGAGAGAGAATCATGCAAACATTAACCAAAACAAAGCATAAGTATATATCGGGAAAAGGTGATTGCAGAATAAGAACAATTTTGACTTAATCAGCTCCGTCAAATTACATAATAACCCAGAATGTGCTGTGCATGATGCAGGTTTTTTTTCACACATGTGGCAACTTTAATAAACCAAAAGAAAAAGTCCCAAATATACAAGTGAAAAAAAAATCCAAACAGTTGATGCAGGCCTAACTAATAGCTACTTTATGTACAGCTGTATGTATAAGTTCAAAGAAGCTATCCTATCTGTATGTACAAAAGGCTATTCACAGGTCTGTACATCAGGGACTAAACCTCTGAACTGTAAGCCAGCTCCAGTTAAATATTTTTCTTTGCAATAGTTGCTATGGTCGTGGTGTCTTGTCATTAGCAATGATATCCTAACTAAGACAAGGGGTCACTGAGTCTTTTACTTCCTCTAAAGTCTGGTTTGGAAGGCTGGGGGATTCCTCAGAAGGATCTTAGCTATGTGGAACTGGGTATTTGTGATTCAAGTGGCATTACTGTTGTAGAACTGTCCCCATTGGTTCACCGTAGTGGCAGCTAGCCTAGGGAAAATGGACCATACAAGCCTCCATCTCTTCTCCCAATCATTTACTGATTTCATAGATATATAGAGGAAGCAACACATTTGCAGCCATATTGTAGTAAACTTGTTGGTTGCTTATACTCAGCTGCTATCATGAGACTATAACCTCGTTTTTTAAATAATTTTCACTTTTATTTTATAAGTTAAAATATTAGAGATTAAATGGGCTGAGATATAAAGCAATCCAAATTGTTGATATATTTTCAGATTAATTTGCCCAAATAGTTGTGCATATTTACAGTTCTACTTGAAGTTTCAAAGTTATCAGCCTGTGGATTTTAATGTTTAACTCTGAGTGTGTTCTAGGTACTGCTAGGGCTGTGATAAATAATATTCCATGAAATACCACTGATTAAAAATAAACTTGCTCTCAGTAAGAGTACTTGACTAAGCTTGACTAAGCATTTAAAAAGTACATTGTGTTAAGTGAAACCTTGTACGTAATAAATAATGAGGGTAATAGAAGGTAAGACTGGACAACTGTAATTGTCTCAAGAAAAGTGTTCAGGGAGGCCAGCTCTTTTGTTACTTCCTCAAACAGCCAGCACAATGGGGAAAGTAAAGGAAATGTTCCATAAAAACCTTGAAATGGGAACCAGAAAACCTAAGACATAAACTTGGGGAAATGACACACAGGGAAACAAATGCAACAGAAAAGAACACCATCCATCATAACCTGGGATGCATGAAAGGCAAACATTTCCTAGAACTGCAGTTTTACAAGGTGTGTGCAGAGATCAGTTGTGTTTGTCTGTCACCATGATTCGCAAGCAGCTCCCTGAAATGGTGTTGCTGCTGTTGGCTTCTTCTACTATCTTTTCCCTAGAACCAAAACTGATTCTCTTCCAATCAAGAATAAACAGCGAAAGTTTACAACTACTGAAAGCTTTTCCAATCTCATCAATCCAGCAGTGTCTAGCACACAGGAAAAATTTCTTGCTTCCTCAGCAGTCTGCCGGTCATCAGCAGTACCAGAAAGAACATGCCCTGGCTGCCCTGCACGAAATCCTTCAGCAGGTCTTCATCCTCTTCCAGACCTACGCTTCTCAGGGCCTTTGGGAGGAAAAGCGTATAGAGAAAGTACTGGCTGCGCTCCACAGACAGCTGGAATACGTACAATCACAAGCCGGACTAGAAGCAGAGCAGAAGAGTGACGGCTTGAGTGTGCAGAACCTCAGGTTACAGATTAAAGCATACTTCAGGAGGATCCACAGTTACCTAGAAAGCCAGAGGTTCAGCAGCTGTGCCTGGATCGTTGTCCAGGTAGAAATCAATCGCTGTATGTTCTTTGTGTTCAGACTCACAACATGGCTGAGCAAACAAAGGCTAGACCCTTGAACACTGAAGCAAGAGCTGATGGTGTCAGAGCGGGAGGAGATATATGAGCATTATTGTTTCCTTTCGGGGTAAAATGGCTGCATTGTTTTGCTTCTTCACGTGTTTTAACTGCGTTTTAAGATTGCATGAATTAACCACAGTAATTTTCATCTTGCCGTGCCACGTTATGTTTCCTAGCAACTTTAAATTATTTGAGAAGTAAATTAAATTCATTAAAATTTCGTAATCAGTTCTTCAATGGCTAAATTTTCATATAATTTTGAAGTTAGATATGATGAGTTGTGCCTTAGATGCAGTGAGCCTTCCTCAACATGCAACATTCATTCCAATGAATTCCTTGTTTACCAGAAATTGTTAGAGGCAAATTAACTAGCATCAAATCTTGAATATTTCTGTTACAAGAGACATAATAGAAATAGAGCCAAAAGACTATAAGCAATTTGCACAGGAATGAAAACAGACTTTATCTTAATAATAATAATGATGCAGATTACAACTAAATAGCCTGCTGTTTTAACCTAGTATCTAACACCTCAATGTTTAATTAAGAAAAATGCACAGATTCGACAGACTGCTGAGAAGCAGGAAATTTTTTCTCTGTGCTAGTCACTGCTGGACTGATTGATAAATGCTATTATAATTTACTAGAACAGCAGAAGTTTGTACAAGCCATATTCATATAAGGGAAGATGATTCTGTTGAAGAGAATGAATGGGCATTTCCCTACAAAAGTACCCAAAAAAAGCAAAAATATATATATAGGAAAATGTATTAAATGGTATATTTGGGCAAAACCATGAAATAACTTTGCTATTTGTACTACTGTCTGTGTAGAACTAAAGAACACATGAGAAATAGATTATAGCAGTAAATTACTATGGAGAAAGGTAATGCAGTTTTGGGGAGCCATACTGGGGAAGGAGAGTTTTTACACTTGTTTCCATGTGGTAATTTTGAGTTCTGTGCATGTTACAAATTAAGTAAGTTAAATGCATCTAGATACTTAGAATTATCAGAAATGCAAATGAAAGATCCTCACTGGTAAACAAAGGTCCTAGTTGAAGGACAGAGGAAACAAGACTGAAGCATCCTGCTCTTGGTTGCCAATGGCTGGGAGGCAGAGGGTTGGGAGGAAGCTGAAGGTGCCATGGGGAGGGGTTTTTGCTTCAGGAAAGGTCTGGTGGTGATGGGGCTGCTTCTCTCCTAGCCAAGCCCTTTAAGAAGTCATCACAAAGCAATGTGGAGCAAGATGTCTGAAGTCCACTGAGACTCGGTGTCTTTGCCACGTTATCCAGATACAGGCAGCAAAGCAACAGACCACAAGCCCCACAGCTATTTCTACTTTCATAATCTGCCATGAAAGTTGCTACTGAATGTGGAGGCTTACCAGAGAACCAGCCAATTCCAGTTTGGCTTAATCTTTGCAAGTACCTGTTGGTGGGTGCTTCTAGGTTTGGCTTGAAATGCGCAGGGAGAAGCTGAATGGACTTCTGACTGTGACCTCCTCAGCAGCTGAAAACACAGGAGCTAGCAGGCAGGAAAAAGTCTTTGCTGATGTCACTGTGAGGCCCAGGACAGGATCTGTTTACCTTTAAGTTCACAGGGAAGTAGTAGAGTCAGGGAAGGAAAAAATATTTACCACACTTGACTGAAAATACAGGTCATTTTGCTTCTCATGGTCTGGAAGACTTTTTGTTGTTGTTTTTTTCTAATTTAAACCAGGAAGTTTTCAGAACCAAATCTGTCACCTAACAATTACTCAGTTCTCCAAACAACCTTGCAAGGTACTTGCTGCTATTATCCATTTTTCTCAGGTGAAAACAAGACTCCAAAGATGACGTCATGCTTAAAGCAACACAGCAAACCCCAGAGTAACAGAAGCCAGAGCAAAGGCTCCATGCCAAGGTACCCTGACTTGCAGCTCAGACACCTGCACTGATGTAATATTGTTGGAAGATGATCATTTGTGATAATAATTATATTCTACCTTGTGTTTTGACCTCTGAATTCTAAATTAAAGAGAAGACATTTCTCCTCATCTAGGCATCCCTTTCCTCAGACTGAGAATTTGGATGCATTAACAAAAGTGAGAAGTTGGAGCAGTAATAATTGTTATCATTACAAGAGTGTGGAGTAAGCCAGGCTTTAATCCCACACTGAGGAGGCAGAGGCAGATGGATCTCTGAGTTTGAGACAACCTGGCCTACGGAGTGAGTTCTGGGACAACCAGGGATACATAGAGAAATCCTGTCTCAAAATAAAAATAGAAAGGGAACAAGAAAAAAGAAAAGAGAAAGAAAATAAAGAGGAAAAGTGCAGAATAAAACCATCTTTCATTCTGAATAGCATTCAGTAAGAGTCAGAGGGAAATGGAACAGATAGAAATGCAGTTATCAGACTTCAGCACCTGATCCCAGTGACTCAGACTGTCCAGGAGAGTCTGTGTCCCAGTTTCTACCATTTTCCAAAGCAGCTCCACCAGCCCAGGACCAAGCAGCCAGAAACACACACTTACGGGAAAGCACAAACGCAAACCGTGAACTACAGGGCTGCTCTCAAGTACTTCCCGGTAATTCCTTCAAGTGCAGAGCTTAGAATCTTAAAGCCATACACAGTCTTCTTCACAGTGGCTGGGCATGGCCCTGTGCACTGTGGGGACAGGACAGTGACAACAAAGGCTGGCATTTCAAGGACATGAAAGAGAGACAGTGATTTTTATGGCCCACCATTGGGTACTGAGACGGGTAGGTACGTTTATGGGTTGCACTGTCGTGAGTCGGGCAGTGATCCTGCCCTCACTAGTGATACGTTTTCCGGTTTTGTTTTCCCTTTCTCTCTGGGACACTCCTCCTCATCTGTTACAACCTTTCTATGAGTTTTTCTGTACCATGGTTGAACCTACGTCCACACACAATCATTCTATGTGCTCATCCTTTTTTCCTTTCCTTTTTTTTTTTGGTGGGGGGGGAGCACATTTTGAGATAAATTCACACTACACTGAACTCAGTCTGCAATCCAGGCTAGACTTTGAACTTGAGATCTGGAACAGCTAGGATTGTAGCCTGTACCACCAAACCATTTAACTAATGTGCTCAGCTGAATAAAGAAAGGCTACAATACATTTTTTATGCATTTTCATTAATTTACTTACCTTTTGTTGCTTTCATTAATTTATTTTAAAACTACTGTATGAGCACAGGAGCAATGAAAAGAAAGTGGACAAAAATTTATTAATGGACATCAAAGGCAGAAATTCTTTTTTTAACTTAATTAAAATATAATTACATCATTTTACCACCCCTTCTTCCTCCAACCCCTCCTGTGCTTGCATCCCTCTTCCATTCATAGCCTCCTCTTCTCCAACCATTGTTGTTTTATAGATACATATAAACAAACAAAAAACAAAACAAAACAAAAACCACCACTCAATGCTGTGGAACCAGTTAAGGGGTTGTTCCTATGAAAGACTAGTCCTTTAGTCTTAACTAACTCTGTTAGCAATTATTAATAGCTTGTAAGGCTTCCTCCAGGGGTGTGAACCCATGAGGTTTCCTTTATGCATGTTGGCATGTCAACTGGTATTATCATTTTGGTGGGGGGGGGGGTAATTTGTTTCTTTTGATTTTCTATGTAATTCCAACTTGATGGCATCAGAGAAACCCAGTAATACCAGTTTATCAGGTTCAGTTTAGGCAGCCATGTTGTTGACATTTCTTGGTGTAGCTTTCATGTTATATCTAGAAAGCACAATCTCACAGCCGACTTCTTTATCCTCTTTTTCAATGTTCCCTAGACCTTAGGTGCAGGATGTGTTATAGATGTGTCAGCTGGGGCCAGGCATCCCACAATAGGTTCTTTGCATTTTGACTGATTGTGGCTTTCTGCAATTGCTGTGAGTTGGTCTGGTGCTATGTATTCAAATGCTGAATTCTGGTCCCCAAACTCTGGTTACAATCCAGAGGAGTGCAATCTCAGGTACACTGAACAATGTTGTGTGAAGTTTGCTCCTCAATTATGTCTGATTGGTTAGTAAAGTTGCTGACAGCCAATTACTGGGCAGAACAGAAGTAGGCAGAATGGAAGTTTCCTTCCATGGGATCTCAGGGAGAGACAATGAGGCCAGGAGAAGGGGGCAGAAGGAGAGAAAGAGATAGAATAAAGAAGATTCAGAGAGAGGACGTAGTCTGATGGAGGAGATCCAGCCCAGACAGGACCCATATTGGCAAGGAACTTGGTGGGAGGTGCAGCTGGGAAGTAGCCAGATTTCTTAGAAAATTCCTTTAAATCATGCCTGCCCAGCTATTGTACTTAAGGCATACTTAAATAAATCAATGTCCCTGTCTCAACTACTGGGGAACTAGCAGGGTCATAGGAAAGCCCTCTAGAACTGAATAAGTAATCACAGCATGCAATGGTCTCCTTCTGCTATAAGAAAGGGATGACTTTGAAGGAGTGAGGGAGTGAGAACTTCTTTGATGGTATATGTAGGAGGGACATATACCCTCATCTGTGGTTAAGTAGTTAGGAATCCACTGGTTTAAGAAAGTTGTAGGTCCTCCAGGGCGGTGGAGAGCTGACTCAGCTCTTAAAGGTTAGGCTCACAACCGAAGAGACAAGGACAGAAAATTTTTAATCTTAGCGTAAAAGTATCCATGAATTTTTGTCACAGAAAGTTTAGGACAAGATCAACTTTGCCAGGTGGTTCTGAGCACTTCCCGTGTGGAAGGGGGGAGGCTTTGCAGCGAACAGGAAAGAGAAGCTCTGTTCTCACTCTGTCTTCAAGCAGTGTCTAGATGCTCATGTTGTTATTCTTCACTTTAGCTTGCAGCTCATATCCTCTGGGAGTAAAATGAACGGCTTTCTTATGTTGCTAAGTAGTGCTGTGCAGGAGTATCGCAATGTTCTCTTTGGACCACAAATGTCTTCACCAAGTTATAGACACAATTAGAGCTATTCTTTAATTCAGCAGAGAAGCGACACTTGCGTTAACATGCCTCTGC